GTTGGCAGGCTTATGCAATGTATGATCATATAATGTGACTAAACCCCCATGATTTTCATATATAGTGCTTAGTTATTTCTCCTCTTGTTTTGCCTATCATATCTTGTCTTGTTTTAGTTTGTATTCCCAGTCCATGTACAGTCCTGTCCAGTCCTGCCCATGTTATGTCAATGGTTCCCTAATGTATTGTGTACATGTTCTGGGTTTAGCTTCCTATCCTTCTGAGTTCTACTAGTTCTGTCTTGTTTTTCATGTTTGGTGACTATCCTAGTCTTGCCTTGTTTCTGTACTGGATACATTCCTGCTGCAGTACCTCCCTATTCAGCTCTGGGAGGTCTGCTTAATTTCTGCTCCTAGTTCCTGGGATCCGCATGAGCTGATTCAGAGTCTTGGCATGTGGCCGCACAAACGCTGGTGCTCAACACCAGGGGGCGTGCGGTTACCCTGCACGAGACCCTGACCTATCCATTCTCACGCTGAAGACTCCCACTTATCATCAGGCATACTGGGTCCCGGTCCACGCACCGCCGCCCGGACAGTGTCTGGGTCCCGGGCACCCTGACAAACGCACGCTTAGATAGACAGAAACCACAAGAGGGCAAAGAAATAAGGGCAGCCAGGAAGTATATATACCCTATACTGGGTTGTGATTGGTTACAGAGGGCTGGTTATACCACCAAAAAGTGCCACATAGACTGATAATATAAACTTGACAAATGGAATGGTTCCATGTCAGAAATGACATCAGGAAGAGGCACAGGGAAGCTAGGAACAAGTGGGGAACATCTTGTGTAGTTTGTGACATAGAAATTACATTACTTCTGTGATTGCATGGTGCTATGAGGTCCAGGAATTGTGACACATGATTTTTTTTTAACTTAGATTTTTACGTAAACAGGCACTTAAGACCATGTTAAAGCCATATCATGATTTACGAGGACTGACTGACTTAGATTAGAAGGAAACCTTCCCACAGGCAGTGTCCTTGTACACCCAACAGAAATTAGAATGCACTTTGTAGTTGCTGTGATTACTCCAAGGTGCGTTTGACTTGTGCTCTGCCACAGCAATGTATGGCAAAACAATGCATATAACACATTTTACGGTCTTGCCAGAAGCGTGTAGGAAGGAAGTGAAAGACTTCATTTTGTTTGAATAGTGATGCCAGGTGCAAAAAACAAAGCTTATACCAATAATTGATGGGAATCTAAGATGGAGGCATAGAGAATTGAGCAGTGAGACTGTAGGCACATCATTACTAATCTAAAGCTGTTTTGGTGCTTATAGTGTTCTTTTAACAAACAACTAATATCCACCTGTCCTCTCCACTAACTGGAGCCAAGGATTCTCACATATTGGGGCTTCAGCCTTCCAAGTGTATTCGAGCAAAGCTTTTGCCAACACTTATAGACATGTACAATTACTACATGGCCATCACGTCTTAACATGTCTTCTCCATGAAAACCAGACAATTCTGTTTCCTAGGCCCTGAGTTGCTCCCATGGGAAGATTGACATTGAGCTAAAGAGATCAGTTGCCCCAGGGCATCACACAGTAGGTGCCCTCACTAAATTGTATTTGGAATGTACATTCAGTAATGAATGCTGCTGGCAGTACACGACAGCCATCCAGTAGTCATATTTAAAGAGTCTTGCTTTACCCAGAAGCAACTGTTCCTCATTTAACTATCCTTCTTAGCCTTCATACACACTGCAAAAACCCATTATTTTTACCAGTTTTCAAAAATCTCATAAAACTGATTTGACTGAAATCATTGTCTGTGCCAGATCTCATGCATCAGCATGTGTTCAATAAAACTCTCTCATGTTACATTAATATTTTCATGAAAAAAAAATATATTTTCTCTTTGTGAATCATGCGCAGCAACCCAAGCGATGAGTCACACAAAAAAACCTTAGGAAAGAATGCAATCATGACCTTGTAAGTTATATATATATTTTATATCGATGGTAACAAATGACGTGAAGTTTTGTCAAAGGAAACCTTCATTAAAATCTGAGGTTAGGATTTTAGAACATGCAGTTAAAGCAATATTGCTAGAAAATATTAATGGATCGTGAATACCATTTTCATTTCTTCTCTTTTTTTTCTTGTCTTTGTTTGGATTTTAATAAAGCGTTATAACACAAGGTACAAATTGTTTTAGTGCAAATCAGTGATTCTTGTTTTATTTGCCTATATCTACTTTAATTCTTTTATTGTGCATTGCTTAGGACTTGCAGAGGCAAACCTGGGGATGTGGTTGAGACGTGTGATCATGTTCAGGTTAGATGAGAGGTAGAGAATGTTAAAACAAGACAATACCTTACCATGAAGAGTTTAAGCCAATCCCACAAAGGCAAGAAAGAAATAGACAGAGCACATTACTGGTCCTTAGAATTGACTGGGCTTCATGGGGCTAAGCAATGTAAGCAGTTTCAGAAGGCAGAGAAAGACAGTAGTCGGAAAAACGAGACAAAGATCAGGAATACTAAAGTACAAATAGGTTGTTTTTTTTTTAATAGAAACATAGATATATAGGTTGGAGATAACTAGCCAAGGTCTGGGATTCCAGAGGTAAATGAGGTCTATAAACAACACAAAAATCTAGACTCTTTGACTCTTTCCTATTTTCTAAGCACTATGAACCTTGATTGCTTTACCCATGATTGGTTTTGGATTTGCCCAGTGACCTACATCGACTCCTAGATGGTTACTGCAGTTTGAGCTAAACCCCAGCACCTTGACTCTTCTTTGTTACAATCTCATTTTCCATAGTTTCCATTTCCAGTTATTCCAGCTGTTTTCTGGTAATCTAATCAGCCCTTCCTCTACATGCAGAAGAAAAAGATGTTTTCGTGGATTATTTTGTTAGGTCGCCACAAGAACCTTAGACCTCAACTTTGAGGACATCACTGTTTTGAATACATGCATTTATTTAATGTTTTATGACATCATACACCAGTTTTAGTTTTTGTGCTGTCCATTCATTCTACTGTTTTGGCAATTTCTCTGTTTCAAACACATGACCTGGCATTTGGCTTGGTTTGTCTCCATTTTGGGCCATCTCTGATTGCAGCCTGCCCTGCCTTCACTCATATAACCCCTTAAGGACCCAACTTCTAGAATAAAATGGAATCAACGGCAAAAAACAAATGTGAGGAAGGCTGAACTTGATGGCAAGTCGCTTTTCAGCTATGTAACTATGTAACTATGATGGAACAAAGGGCGTCCGCAGGAATTTTTCCGGGGACGGGCATAATTGTTATGACATCCATGCTTGGTCCCTTTTTGACAGTGTCATGATAGGGGAGGGGCATAGACATTATCACATAAAGCCAGGATGAATAGCGTTTTCACAACTATGGTGTCAGGAATACATGTTTGTATTCCTGACACTATAGTGTTCCTTTAAGTAAATTAAAGGAACATTCTGGTCACCATAACAACTTCATCTAAATGAAAATGCTATGATGTCAGGAAGCTCCTGGGTGCTCTCTTTCCTTTAAGGGGTTAAACTGCTCTCAAATGGTTTAACCCCAAAGGCTTCCTCCAGCTCCAGGTCGCTCAGTGTTATTTGTCTTCTGAAACAGTGTCAGGAAGTGCAGATTGACGTCAGGCATGGGTGCTCCAGATTGGCTAGAGTGGTCAGCTAATGCTCTAACCCAATCGCTAGTTCCCGGTTCATAATTTTTTAAAACTTTTTTATGAATGGGGAGCTACTGAGTGTCAGCTGACCGCTCTAGCCAATCAGTGACACCCCTACCCAGCGGCACTCTGTGCTTCCTGACACTCAGTAAATAAAAGTGAACACATTGATTATTTTTTAATTTTTTTTACCTGGGGAGATGAGAAGGTCCAAAGTTTCCCTGCCCTGCCAAAGCCTTATGATGTGGTGTCCAGAATAAAGTGGAGGGTTCACTTCATTTGTCCTTCCTGTTCCAATCTCCCTTTCTTCTCCTTCATTTGACACAGTCTTCTTTTTCTTCTGACACTGTCTTCTCTCCTCCTTGGCTACTTCTGCTCCTTTACCTTTCTGCTATTTTCTGCTTGTTTTGTGCCCTTCTGCTCCTTTCTCTTTCTGATCCAGGGTCTGCTCCTTGCAGACCCTTTGTGCACCTTGCAGACGCTTTCTGCTCCTTCTCCTACTTTACCTTTGTGCTCCTTATGATTCTTTCTACTCCTTTACCTTTGTGCTCCTTCTGTCCCTTTCTGCTTTTTGCATACCCTTCTTTCTCCTTGCTGCCCCTTGCAGACCCTTCCTTCTCCTTGCTGCCCCTTCCTGCTAATTTCTGCTCCTTTTCCTACTTTATGTTTGTGCTCCTTCTGCCCCTTCCAGCTCATTGCTGATCCTTTCTGCTCCTTGATGTCCCTTCCTGCTCATTTTGTTCCTTCTCCTACTTTACCTTTGTGCTCCTTGCTGCCCTTTCCAGCTCCTTGCTGCCCCTTTCTAATCCTTTCACTTTGCCTTTGTGCTGCTTTACCTTCCAGCTCCTTGCTGACCTTTCCTGCTCCTTGCTGAGGCTTCCTGCTCCTTGCTGAGGCTTCCTGCTCCCTGCTGACCCTTCCTGCTCCTTGCTGACTGTTCCTGTAGGCTCTCTCCCCCTCCCCTTCCCTGATCTATAGGCTCTCTCCCCCTCCCCTTGCCTGATCTATATGTTCTCTCTACCCCTCCCCCTTCCCTGATCTTTAGGTTCTCTCTCCCCCTCCCCCTTCCCTGATCTATAGGCTCTCTCTACCCTACCCCCTTTCCCTGATCTATAGGCTCTCTCTCCCCCCTTCCCTGATCTATAGGCTATCTCTGCCCCCCATCAGGGGCATATTAGCCACGAGGCAAACAAGGCATTTGCCTTGGGCGGCATTTTTCAGGGGGCGGCAAAAAAGCCGCCCCCAAATGCCCAGGGCAAATGTCTAGTTAGCCTCGTGGCTAACAGACATGCCGTGTGGGCGGGCAGCGCTGGGCGGGCGGGCGGCCGGCGAGGGAGCTCTTCCCCTGAGCGCTCTGCTCAGCTCCCTCGCGCGCCGCCCGCAGAGTGAGGCTGGGAGCCGGAATATGACATCATCAACCCAGCTCCCAGCCTCACTCTGCGGGCGGCGTGCGAGGGAGCTGAGCAGAGCGCTCAGGGGAAGAGCTCCCTTGCAGGTCGCCCGCCCAGCAGCCACTGGACTCCAGGACCCCAGGGAGAGGAAGAACCCCCCCCAGCATTCCCAAAGGTAAGGAGGCTGGGGGGGTTAAATAAAAAAAACACAAGTGAGTGTGTTAGTGTGTGTGGATTTTAGTGTGTGTGTCTGTTAGTGTGTGTGTGTGTGTGTGTGTCTGTTAGTGTGTGTGTGTATGTTAGTGTGTGTGTCTGTTAGTGTGTGTGTGTCTGTTAGTGTGTGTCTGTTAGTGTGTGTGTATGTTAGTGAGTGTGTGTCTGTTAGTGTTTGAGTCTGTTAGTGTGTGTCTGTTAGTGTGTGTGTGTGTTTGCCTGTTAGTGTGTGTCTGTTAGTGTGTGTGTGTCTGTTAGTGAGTGTGTGCGTGTGTCTGTTAATGAGAGTGTGTTTGCCTGTTAGTGTGTGTGTGTTTGCCTGTGAGTGTGTGTGTCTGTTAGTGAGTGAGTGTGTCTGTTAGTGAGTGAGTGTGTCTGTTAGTGAGTGAGTGTGTGTCTGTTAGTGAGTGTGTGTTTCTGTTAGCTAGTGAATGCGTATCTGTCAGTTAATGTGTGTGTGTGTATTTATAAGGCGGAGCAGGGGGAAGGGTTGGGTGGCGGTTGCGCGGGTGGGGGTAGCGCAGGGGGTTGCCTGAGTTTTGTCCTGCCTAGGGCAGCACAAAACCAGGATACACCACTGCCCCCCATGCCTCACTTAACTGATCTGTAGGCTCTCTCTGCCCCCCCCGCCTCACTAACCTGATCTGTAGGCTCTCTCTGCCTCCCCATATGCGCCTCACTTCCCTGATCTGTAGGCTGTCTCTGCCCCCCCACCTCACTTACCTGATCTGTAGGCTGTCTCTGCTGGCTGCACTCTGTGTTGCTCCCCTGCGGATTCAGTCAGAGAGAAGCAGGGATAAAATGTAGCTTCCTATCCCTGTCTCTCTTCATACACAGTGCCACTGTATTTTCAATCTCACACGAAAAATAGCAGAACAAGCTGAAAAATCCAGGGGGGTGGAGGGGAGTGGCAAGTGCCCCCCCCCTTGCTTCCCCTGTGGACGCCCATGGATGGAATATTTCCATCATGTGTCCTTAAGGGGTTAAGTGCTTTCCTTTTAGTGTAGCATACTCTTTTTTTGTCCTGCCTATTCCTAATTTTGTTACTCTGTCTTACTTAATTTTTTTTGGTTATAGACTACACAGCCCTCCATGCAGTGTCTACTGTCACCACCACCTAATTCCAGCAATAGTCAATCTTATCCAGCCTAATTTTTTCTTCCTTCACAGTCAACGCATCCATTTATAAATCCTACTCCTTGATGTTCAAATGATACAAAGAAAGCGTTGGGTAGTATATATATATATTAGAATAATGGCTTGCATGACCGCTTTCAGTCGATCACAGCACCCATTACTGGTATGAATTGGTATCGTTAGAAGGTAGTGTGTAATCTCTGCCTTAGACTTACATCCAGTAGGGACCAAGACGAGGGTGGTTAGAAACTCTTATTTGATGTTAAACTGGTTTAACTTTGAGTGGAGGGACAGTGCCAGGGGACTGCATGTACTCAGTTAAATGAAATGGTTATAGTGCCTACAGGATCCCTTTAAAGGCAGATTTGGAGCTAGATAGGAGAAGAGAAAAGCGGACAGAATTGAGTAGACAGAATGGTAAAAACTGGAACCAGGGATTAAAGAAAACATGTTGAATAATACAGACAAAAGACAAACGAGGTGCCAAATGGCAAAGCATAGACAATGTGTAGGAGACAAATACTGGCAGAAGAAACATAATTGTGGAATAGGCCTTGGTTGGATGAAAGATAAGGGGAACACAAGATGAGAATATAGGTTGGATTATGCTTTTAAATGACCATGACAACTCCATCTCTGTGGCTAGTTGTGGGCCTCCTCTGGCCACTCCTCAGATGGCTGCTAGAGGTGCTTCCCGGGGCATTGCTGCACAGTATGACTGACATTCAGTGTCTCCTCCCTCTGCATGGAAACGGTGAACTTTCCTCAAAGAGATGCAATGATTCAATGCAACTCTATGAGAAGATGCTAATTGGTCAGGGCGGTGTTTGTCTCTGCCCTGCTCCACCCATGATCTGCCTCTTAGGCTGACATCATCAGAATTGACAATCTCAGCCAATCCAATTCTTTCCCATGATTGGCTGAGATTATCACTTCTGATGATGTCAGCCAAGGAGGAAGATCAGGGGCAGTGCCAGCACCAGCAGACTGGAATAAAGATAAGATTTTACTATATTTAGGGGAGCAAGAAATATACTATAGAGTCAGGAATACATGTTTGTGTTCATGACCCTTCAGTGTTCCTTTAAAGTTTACATTTACATCAGAGTATGAACTCCGTACTTCAAATTTATGATGAATATCTATCATTTGTAGTCGTGATTTTTTTTTTTTTACGCAAGCTAAATAAATTCCTACTTCTTTTTGTGCTTATTTTTAAAAAGGTTATTTTTATGCGTAACCCCAATCAACCTCTGGCTTCACAAATCTTTTACAGTAAAACCACAATATTCTAGAAATTGTGTACAATGTGTTTATTCCAAAATAAATAAACAGAATTGAACTCTGTGGGGATTTTCCATAATATATTCTAATATTTCATGAGTATGTAAATTAAACGTGTGTTTTTTGTGCTTTTTGTTAGGTAGACTGTCAGTCACAATAATATATTGCAGACTTCTCATAACCACATGTCACCATAAAGAAATTTGTGGTTGCTACTTGAGTTACATCTATATATATATATCCTTACCTAATTACTAGGAAACAGTGCAGCTACACATACATCTGTAGGTGGCTTTTTAGCTACTCCGAGCATTTATATATACTGTCTGAATATAGTTTTACAAGGTGACAGTTCTGATCTAAATGCGTTTATTTTCAAACAGTTTTTATTTTGTGTCTTTCTAGTGGTTTAGAAAGAAAACAAATATTTAACAGCTACTCTGTGTATGTTATGACGTTAATTCATAAAATCTTTATAAATGTTGGGCTGCATAAATTTGCGGTTCAGCTCTTGACCCATTATGTCAAACCAGTCACAGCGAGTGGTTTTTGGCAAACTATGACACTCAGATTGTTTTATGGTTTCTTGAAACAGTCTGACATGTGATATTTTGGAAAATTTACAGAGATTTGTGGAGTTTTGTGTTTGTTATTTTTCTTATTGTTTCTGTGCTTTGAGATGATTAAATTAGAGCAGTAGCTTTATGCTGAGTCAGGAAGACAGATGCCTAAAACACTCCTATTTCTGAATAATAATGTCATCCTAGCCAGCACAGTGTGGTCACTGTATATGCATTTGAATCCAAATATTCCTTTGAAGTGAAACTGTTGAATGTATCACAATGAGAATTCTGCAGTCTTTCCCTTAGTTCAACGTTCACTGCTGGTACTCACCTGTCCTAGGCCTCCCGGTGGGAAGAGAGTAAAATTGTCATTAACATTTCTGAGGGTTTGAAAAATAAATCACTAGATGTATGTGGTCCATGAGCTATACCACCTAGTGCCGTGTATAGGTCCCTATATCCAAGACCGAAACAAAGTTGCAAGAAGGAAACGGAAGAAGCACTATTAGGGTGAAGGAGTCATAACATTCCAAATGGCTATGCAGGGAGCATTACCCAAACAACTATTTCTATATATTGTATACAATATATGGACAAAACTATTGGGACACCTGTTCATTACACCTTTATTCTAAATACATAGACATTGATATGTAGTTGGCTCCCCCTTTGCAGGCTCTAACAGCTTCCACTGTTTTGAGTGTTTCTGAGTTTTTGTGCATTCACCCAGTAGAGAATTGACCTGGCTCGCCATTTCCATTCCAGTTCATCCCAAATGTTTGAAGGGGCTTAGGTGAGGGCTCTGTGTTGGCCAGTCAAGTTCTTCCACACCAAACTCACCCAACCATGTATTTATGGACATTCCTTTGTGCACTGGGGCACAGTGATGCTGGAATAGAAAAGAGTCTTGGTATGTTGAAGCATTAAGATTTCCCTTCACTGGATGTTAAGGGACAAGCCCAAACCCTGATAAACAGCACTATACCATTATCCCTCCTACAACAAACTTCACAGTTGGCACAATGCAGAAGGCAAGTAACGTTCTCCTGACATTTGCCAAACCCAGATTCACGCATCAGAATTCCAAACAGAGAAGCATGAGTTGTAACTCCATAGTACACATTTCCACTGCTCCATAGTCCAGTGGTGGGTTGCTTTACACCGCTCAATCCGACCCTTGACAATGTACTTGGTGATGTGAGGCTTGCATGCAGCTGCTCGGCCATAGAAACCCATTCCATGAAGCTCTCACGACACAGTTTTTGTGCTGATAGTAATGCCAGTGGACGTTTAGAACTCCTGAGCAATGGAATCTGCAAAGTGAATGACTTTTTTGCATCATGCGCCCCAGCACTCTGTGACCCTGTTCTGTGACCTCACATAGTCTTCCACTTCATGGCTGAGTTGCTGCTATTCCTTAATGTTTCCACTTTCCAATAATACCACTTACAGTTGACTATATTAAAGGACCACTATAGTGCCAGGAAAACATACTCGTTTTCCTGGCACTATAGTGCCCTGAGGGTGCCCCCACCCTCAGGGTCCCCCTCCCACCCGGCTCTGGAAAGGGGAAAGGGGTTTAAACTTACCTTTTTCCAGCGCTGGGCGGAGAGCTCTCTGCCTCCTCTCCTCCTCCGTTCCGCCCCGTCGGCTGAATGCGCACGCGCGGCAAGAGCTGCGCGCGCATTCAGCCGGTCGCATAGGAAAGCATTTACAATGCTTTCCTATGGATGCTGGCGTGCTCTCAATGTGAAAATCACAGTGAGAAGCACGCAAGCGCCTCTAGTGGCTGTCAATGAGACAGCCACTAGAGGCTTTGGGGGAAGGCTTAACCTGAAGCTTCTCTGAAGCTGCTATGTTTATTAAAAAATGGGTTAACCC